CAGTACAAGCAAGGACACCTGTGAACTCGGATAGCCTTGTGGCATACCTGGAATCTAGCCCCCGGACCGAGGAGCAATTTCAAAAGATATGGCAGGAACTGGATCTCTTTTCACAGTAAAGTCCTAAATCGAGAAAGATAGCAAGGGTAGGATGAAAGAAAACAAGGGAAATTTAGAACAATAAAAGCTTTCACCTAAAAATGCGAGGGGCCGGAAGATCCTTAAAAAGGAATTCGTCAAGGGCTACTAAGTTAAGCATAAGCAAGCAGGAATGGGCTATCTAACTCACTCCAAGGGGCGGTAAGGGCCTTACAAATGAAAAATAGAAGAGATAAGCTAAGCAGGCAGACTAGGCCACTAGCACTTGATGAGCTCAGAGCGATGAAAAAGCATTTTCGGGAGAAGGCTAACAAGGGCAATTGAGACCAGGAAAGAGGGCATTTTACTGTATTATTTGAGGGTCACTAATTGGTGAAAAATAAAGATCAAGGGGTGCCGGCGCTGCTACAATTACAATTGCGTTTTCGGGATAGGTCTAGATCAAAGTATGTTATTTTTTCTTGAAAGCATAGTCGCGAACTGAAACTTTTCTAGAAGGAAGAGATTCTGTTTCAAATAAGGAATTCCTCCCCGGTCGTCTGTGGAAAAAAGGTGGAACCCTTCAGTGTGTATGAGTTGAATAAGACCTAGCTTTTCATCCCCTCGGATTCCAATGAGAGGCTCGGTCCTTGTCCTCCCGTCTCCCCAGTCATAAATAGAGTGAAGTGGCTTTACATTCTCATGATCGGGTGGACCCGAGCTTTTTACTCTGATCAAGCTTTGGCTGTCTCGATGGACTGGCTTGTGCTCAGGCCCTAAAAAAGTAAGCTAGAATCCTCCGAGATGGAAGGTCCCCCCTCAAGAGGGATTATTCTCCGGGTTAGTCCAATTGGTTGCGGTCAAAAAAGTACTAGAAAGACCTATCACCGGACATCAAATGAGAGGTCTCATTCTTATTCAAAACCATCAGCAAAAGCCTTAATCTCCTCCCTGGTCAATCTGACTTCAAAAAAGGACCTCGCCGGCTAGTCCCTTAGTCCATGCCCGAGCCTTCCATACATCACCATCGAACTGACATTCTCTGGACTGAGAGAACTCAGGTTCCAATTTTCTTATTTTAATAGTTGGTTCATGACCATCGATCGGTCGGAAGGAAGCGGCTGTTTTTTCTTTCTTTTGCTCTGGTTGCCTTGACCAGAGAGTACCAACCCGTTTAGAATGAATCCTATCCAAAGATAAAGTTTTCCAGACTGCGGGACATTTTCCGTAGTAGGCCGAGTTTGACTCTATCGCCTTACACACAGCCCTCTTTTTAGCTCTACCACAATTTCGGTGCCATCACAAGAAAGAATGAAGAAAGCGTACTACGCGCTATACAGGCAGACGGACAGAAGAGAGAGATCTATCTAGAAAGTCAGTCTTCTTTGACTAATCTTGGGTCCTATGCTTGCCCCTTCCTTAATTTAATAATATAGGAAATGGGCATAGACCCGGAAAGAACTAGTCAAGCTAAAGAAGAAAGAGAGACTGAACAACCAAGAACGGCAGGAACTACAACTTCAATCACTGAAAGAAAAAAGAAAAAGAATTTCGCTTACGGTAAGGATGACTAGAAGATAATTTCATAAGAAAGGCGCGGGACTCCTTGAACTTGAAAGAAGCTACTTTCTACTAAGCTAACTTTGAATGCATTTTTTAGCATGGAGAGCTAAGAGACGAAATGGAAAACTTGTGGTAGGACGGAAATTTCCCCTTCTACGAAAAAGCGCTATGGAACTGGGCAGACACCGTAAGGAACATAAGCTCGATCTTCTTCCCTGCCTCCGCTTTCTTGATTGGACGAGTATCCACCTTTCAGTCCTCCATCGATTCCTGTTTATAGGGGATAAATCGTCTGTTTTAGTAACGAAATAAAGGAAAGGTTCTTTTCTCAATGTCATTATCTTCCCTTCCTCGTCTCTCAAACTCGAGGATTACCAGAGCAATTAGGGTGGCTTAACCACGTGACAGATTAAGCGCTGCCATCCCTTTCACTCTCTTCGCTACAATCCCGAGACTAATTATATAAATATTCTTAGCTGTAGCGGCGTAACTGAGACTTCCTTTGTTATAAGAATTCTTCACCTTTGTACGAATTAGAATAGAAAGTCTAGTGAAGCCTGCGTCATCCTTGCTTAAGTCTTAGTAGCTAGCGTACTTCTTTGTGGAACTCCTTTCTTTTTCCGCTTTTCATGAAAAGACGTGTTGGCAAGGAAGGTCCCAAGTGACCGATGCTTAGTTCCCTTTATCTTATCTTTATTCAAGCTAGTAAGGAATCTTTGAAGTTAGAAGATCAGATCCGGGGAACATAGATGCGATCCTCAAGCCAACATATTCAAAGACTTCCCCTCCCCTTTGCCTATCTCTCTTGCTGCTCTACTTCGATGGGTCTATTACCAACCTGATTTCCAAGTAAGTCGAGAGCAGGTAGTCAACTTCGTGCTTCAAAAAGAGAGCACTGAACTTAACCTAGCCCATAAAGGATGCATTGATACAATTGATACGGAAATGAGAGAAATTGATTGCGCGAGATCAAGTCAAGTGATTCAATTCGGGATTTTACTTTTAGTCAATCAAAGCCCCAAGACTTCGATCACCTATAGCCTATCGTACTGGCTATACCTATTACTAATACCAAGAAGCATCTATAGTCTATCCTCCAAGTGTGCTCTTCTCAAACGTAGGATTACCAAGTTTTCATGCCAGATCAAGAAGAGGAGAGATGGAATCTACTGCCAGAGGGCACCACAGTTAGAATTAGGATTCTCATGAATTCAAAAGAGAGGTCTTCACTAAAGTCAATTGCATCTCCTTTTAGATGGTCTACCCCCGCGCTCCTGATCAGCTAAGCCCGACTACTGTGAGACCTTCGGTTTGCTCTCTCGACATCTTTATTCTAAGATGGGAATCCCGACCCATTCGGCCAAAGAGAGAATTATATCTTCTCTTGTAGAGACAGGATCCAGTCAGCAATCCAGGTTGAGTAGCAGTTTGTCCACTAGAAGCTAGAATAGAGCATGGGGTCCTATAGACGGATCTCCTTAAAGAAAAGAAGAGAGCGATCGCACATGCCTGTTATGATTATGAGTGGGGCATTGGAACAACTAGTAAGACCATCTAGCACTCTCTACCTACCCCTTTGGCACGAGCTTACGCTCGTTGAAATTCTAGAGTGAGAGGGGTGATTCCACTTATCCATTCATTGCTTGTTAACTCTCTCTCTTTCTTACATAGCTACAGGGGTATCCAAAAAGGGAATTAACTGATGGCTTCAGTCCCTCTTTAAGAGAAGATGAGAGGCTTTCATATCGACTTAATTAGGGATTTGCCCCAGGTCTAAGGCATCCTAAGATAGAAGGATCTCAACTCATGAAGAAGCTTGCTCAGGTTCAAAATCACAATAAGAGCAAAAGACCGAGACTCCATAGCAAATGGCTTTAGTTCAAGTTCGTCTTCTAAGGCTCCCTTTATGGTATGGAGGATCTCCCAGATCAAGCACTCCCTTTCTTCACGGGGGAAGAGTCTATCATGTCGGAGGTCTAAACTACCTTAGATATGCAATTTGAAGATCTTTATGTTCCGGCCGATTTCATTTCAGGAGAAGGAGAGGCCTAAGCGTCCCAAACAGATTCATTAGGTTAATGGGCGGCAAGAGATGCCACATCTAGGTCAGCCACATTAGCAGTTTCAGCAGAAGAAGCTTCAAGTCGCTCAACCACCGACCTACCTATCGGCTTTATTAGCAGCCCTTCTAACTCGGAACTAGACTCTAGGATCAGTAGAGGGTTTCAAATCTTTCTCCCTTCGCTTTCGCTTTAATAATGAATGATATGGAGTTGTTAGGACTGCAGCAGAGCGTGATAGGAAGACTAGCTATGCTAAATTAAGTAAAGAAAGCTTGCCTAACTATATCCGATACTGGTGAATGAGAATTTCGTCCGACCGATTGAAAGGCTGGACTTGCTTGAAACAACTAGCTCTACTTCCGGCTTTAAGGTTTTAAAAAGTATATGACTTCAAACCTTTTCCGAACGGTTTTCGTTACGACTTCCGCTAGCACCTGACTCGCCCGGCAATACTGACTTGAACCGGCTCCCACTTTGATTGAGTTGTACTGGCTCTGGTTCCGGTACTGGTGAAAATAGAAAGAACAGTTCCAGTGAAAGCGTTCGATCAGAGAGAAAAGACAGGTTAGTTCAGTGAAAGTTTGCAAAGTCAATCTCTTTCCGGGTCGTCCGGGGAACTGGCAAGTGGGAAAGCTTTAAGAGATAGGAGGGAAGTGATAGATTAGTTAATGCTCAAGTACAGGCGGCAAAGGAAGAGGTACAACATAAGCAAGTCAGCGGGTCACAAGGAAGTCGGATTCCAATCACTTGCTGAGATAAGCTCTCCTCCTATTTTTGCACTGCTTCCGGTTGATGGCTATTATGCCTCTTCCTGCTCTTTTGACTTCTTCGACTCGTCTTCCAGCTCAAACTCATAAGCCAAGACTCCTATTCCGGGTAGTTTTTTTGATAGTCCTTTGCTCTTTACAAAACCCTGACTCGTTCATTCACTCGCTTGGATTCAGTCTCGTTCGGTTGTTGATTAGTTCATCGGTAGTTGGTTAGATAGTCGTGGTTGGGTTATTCACTTGGAGTTGCTTGGAAAATTCCTGGCATTATTCCGCCTTTTCGGGGGTAGTTGCTCGGGTGGTGTCTTGTATTGTGGTTGGTTGCATCAGTTGATTCACTCCTTCCTAAGCATTCGTCGATTGGTGGCGTGGGAAAGGGGCATTCGATCACGGGCAAAGATGTCGATGCAATTTATTATGCAAGTTCTGAATTCAAGGTAGAGGGGTTGCCTGATTCACCAGTCTTTCCTCCAGACTCATCGGTAGGGTGATGCTAAACTATCTTATAAGGGTTTCTACTATTACATAGGCTTGGGGCTCCCATGCCGGTATCTTTCAGTTTGTTGGCTCCTCTTATTCTCAGCACATAGGGGGATTCCCCATCCATTTATCTTTCTATTTCTTTCTTTCATTCCGGGCGGATTCCCATGATTCCTTTCCCAGTGTATATATTCCCCCCTCATCCGAGGCTCAGACTTCACCTCCATCCCCTTTTATTATATCAATAGGGAGCTCATCCATCCTTCCTGCCATAAGCTGATGATCTCCTAGCGCGAAAGCCATTGATCGATAGTTACACAAGGCGATCGGAGATCCCTACAGAAGATAGCTTTCAGAAGCCCGATGCTTAAACTAAAATTGCGCGATGAACTCATCAGATGAACTACTACAGGAAAGAAGACCAATTTGACCGAAGACCCTAGAGACCGTTACAAGACAGCTCGACCGGGGAGTAGCATATCTTTCAAGATCAAAATTCGGTTACAAGGTATTCGCCCTAATTGAATAAAAGAAGGGAACCGTATTCGTGGACAGATGAGCGTTTGCGACCGTTTACAATAGTTAATACCGAAACAGACAATTCCAGATGCCCTCAGACAGATGCCACTAAAAAAGCCGATTATCGCATGTTTTTAGAGGCCGTACTTGACCTATCCGACCCCTTAAACTCGCGCTTTAGAAAAAAAATAGACCATTCCGGACTTTTTCCTCATGTCGCTACCAGCTACAGATCAGATATGACCGGTTGAAGAAAGAAGAAAAGATCGATGAACGATTAAGCGCCTTAGAGACCAATGAAATGCGACCGAGAAGCTTTATTACACAAAAGTTTTTTGAAGACTTCTTGCTTCTGTTTCCCTGCTTACTATTGCTATCACCTCAACTGCTTTCGACTTGCTCACTTAGAATGAAGATCAATAATAATAATAATGGGCGGAAAGGCTTTACACAAGACCACAGAGCGAGAGAGAGAGCCTTCGCTTACCTGCCCGTGCCCTCCTATCGTACCTATATCCCCTTTCCTTCAGTTACATTCAGTCTCAGTTCTGCTTCCGGGAGAAGGCTTGGACGTATAGCAAGATTAAATAAGAGGTATGGCATACGGGAATGATATATGAAATGAAAGGCTGGAAACAGAGCTGGAGATGAGCGCTAGCCAATGGTTAATACTTCAGAAAGCACCTTAGCAATAAAATTACCAGTAATGCCCCTATCGACCTCAGTCTTGTTTTTTGCTAGCTTGAGTCTAGAACTATACTATCCCATTAAACGCCGAATATCCATATATATATTGAATTTATAGATTTTTTTTATGGAAGATAGTCGGCCCACTTCTAGCCGTTCAAGCGATTATGCCTGTTCTAGCCCTACCATCCACCCCTATCATAATAGAAAGCGGTACTTTCGAGCTGATCTGTAATGGATCAAAGCGACCGTTAGTCGGGCTGATCTGTGATTGTTGGTCAAGGCGACCGAGAGGACACATACCTCCTCCATATTCCGGGCAAGACTCGGGTACTGCATGCGAGAAGTTTAATAGTTTACTGAACAACTACTTAGATCTTGATTGATAGTAACTAGGAGAAGAAAGACAAGCAATACAGAAAGGAAGAGGTTGTTGCCCCGGTAGATATAATAAGTTTGCAGTAAACCCTAGATGGAATTCAACTATTCAACGTTGATGTTGATCTACTTGCTTGTACGATTGGATTTGTGTTCAGTCTACCTATAGCTAATGAAGTCAGCCTTGCTTGAAGGAAAGATAGTAAATCCGGATTATTGACTTTAGACTTTGAAGTAGGCGAATCCGCTGCTCCTGCTCCAGAGTAAGGGGTAGAAGGCTAGAGGATCTCAACCACTTATTTTGAATCGAAACCTAAGTGGTAATTCGTTAAAAGCACGGATCGAACGAGAAGGATGGGATTGGGTTCAGTTAAGGTAACCTAGAGGGTGAAAGCCTAATTCCAATCGAGCTTGCATCTTAGTACGCAAAGTCTTCAGCAAGAAAAGGGGAAGTCGAAAGAGAACTTACAGGCTTTCCTCAAAGCTCACAGCTAGTCCTCCTTATTTAATATAATTCCCAAGCAGGCGGATTAAAAGGTAAGGAATGACAAGGTCAACCTAAGCTTAGTCGAATTCTTCCCCTAGGTGAACTATCTTTAGCTTTCGAGAAGACAGTGAAAGCAGAAGACTAAGTTGAGGATGTCACGTGGAAGCTTTCAAAGAGAAGATTCACTAGCAAAGGGGCGAAGCGAAAAGTCTTCTCTACTTCTTTTTCTTTCTTGTTATACCCGTCCGTTCGTGCCAAGGGGCGATAGCGGTCCAATAGCTGCGCTTACAGGGGTCTCAGTTTCCCACCTCCTTTTTGCTGATGATCTTTCCCAATCCGGACATCCACTCAGTCCAAAACCGTACTCTGGCCTTTCAAGATTTTCACACATACTCCGGCCTTCCGGTAAACTTTAAAAAATGCAGCGTATTCTGCTCTGCTATTTCTTCCACTCTAAAGGCCGCTATCCTCTCCATTTGCGGTATGCATGAGGAGCAACTCCCTTTAAGGGAGCCTTGGCTTGCCACTTGTCTCATCCAAAATTTCATTTGCTAACAGTAGTCCCTTGATAGATAAAATCAGCAAGAAGCTAACCGGGTGGAAGGCCAGAATTCTTTCTTTTGCCGGACGACTGCAGCTTCTAAAGACTTTCTTTTTCATACCAACACTACTGGATGTGCTCCTTTCTGCTCTCTTATAGCAGCATTGATGCTATTGAGAGAATGCTTCGTCCTTTAGGTTATGGTGACTGGGATCGCAGGTCAATACATACAGTTATCTGGGAGACCATCTGTAAACCGAAAAGGAGGGTTGATTTGGCATCCCAGGCCTTAGGAGATGGAATGAAGCCTGCCTTCTCAAGCAGGTTTGGCTGCTGGCCTCCAACCCCAGTTTCATATGGACCGACTGGATCAAAACTAGATATATCAAATAAAAATGGATATGGGACTCTTCCCCTCCAACTGGCTTCCTGTGTGGAATAATAGAAAAAAGCGGTAAAGGCAAGCGGTGATCTATCTTACGTACGGTTCGGAGAAGGCGAAGTCAGTCCCCCAGACTGACTGCCTAGGTGAAAGGCTTCGGGGGGTAGACTAGCCGGAAAAGTAGGGCAACCAGGCTCTTAGTCATCTATTGACTCGACCCAAGTACGAGGAGGAGATAGAGTGTGCTATCAGAAAGAGTCGGAGTGCCTCTAAATTGCATAAGAGAAGAAAGAGAAGAGCTCCGGGTTCAGAAGTCGTACGTCTGGTTCACTAGGTTCTACCACTGCAGGGCTCAATCATGCTCAAAAGACGAGTTTGATCCTGGCTCGTTCTGTAACGCTATATATATGCTTAACACATGCAAGTCGTACCTTCTTTTCGCCTAGGGGAAAGTGGTTCAGGTAGCTCAACAGGACTGAAAATCCTTGTGTCAGTGGTTCAGGTAGCTCAACAGGACTGAAAATCCTCTTTTTATCGGGACTGAAAATCCTTGTGTCAGTGGTTCGACTCCACATCCACTTCCCATATACGGGATAGCCGGAATGGCTGAAAGGGGCTAGGCTGATTAGAAAGCTTACGGACCTGAACCACTGGACCAAGACAAATATATAGACAGTACTATACCGAATCTACTTCCGAGACTTCAACAGAGCCTGGACCACTGGTAGACCACGAGACAAAGAAACGGATTTCACTTCAAGTGAAAAAGAAAAGACTTGCAGCCGTTATCTCAAGATAAGAGGCGGGAAATGAAGGGCTTTTGGGTATGGGGCCCATTCTCCCTTATGGGCCTAGCAAGTGTTCTCCCCCATCTTCTGACCCAACTGACTCCTCTCTAAAGTCTACTGGTGAAGGTCCTCTCTTACCGGGTCAGGATAGTCTGTCAAGCCCTAAGTCATTTGCCCCACGACCATTGAAGGATGAGCGCTGATCCGTCGAGGATTGAGAAGCAATAAAGAAAGCCTTGGTATCAGTAGATGAATGCAACTGATGAAGCCGTTGCGAATGCTACAATAGCTTCGCCTTCAAGTCATCAAAGCTGATATTGGTTGTGCTATTAGTGATTGTGGTGACGAAAGACTCATACTCCGGTGGTAATCCGGCTAAGGCATAAATAACCAGATCCTTGTGTGAGACCGGAGAATTGATTGCTATGAGAGAATAAGCCACTGACTTGAGTGTGCGTACATAAGTATGTGGCCATGGGCTGATTGCCCTTTTTCAAGGTCTGAAGTTTAAGCTTTCGAGCAAGAGACTGATCAAGGAATCGCTTTTCTAAGGCTACCCAAACATTTCGTGCAGTTGGTAGATCATGCACTTCCTGTAGAATATCCCGCGTAAGAGTGGCATTTATCCAGGACTTTATGCTTTGGTCTGTGCATATAAGTATAGGTCGAATGTTTTCGTGAGCAGTAAGCAGCAGATCTCTCCTTATTTTGGCAAAGCTGGTGGCCGCGTGTGAATTCTTTCAAGGCAAGGGGCGGCCTGATTCGACATTGTTGTTTACTCTGATCCGGTCGAGGTGGTTTTCGTTTACCAGCGCGTAGGTGGTCTAAGTTCCTATGACCGAGTCTTTCTGTCCCCTGTGAACATCTTTTCTTAATGTATTAAAGAGGGCCTCTCTAACCGGTGAAAAGTGGTGGGTGTCCACTAACGGCCATTCCTGGCTCGGCTCCGATAACGCAATTCCGGGAGGAGTCGGTAATTGGGCACTGGATCCCTTCGGACCTGGAAAACGTGTAACGCTGGGTCGGGGTTTGGTGAACCAACTGGTCGCTCTTCTAGTTGAAGTATCGGGCCCCTTTTTCGTTGTCTAGGTTACACCTTCGGAATACCCCAGAAAGGGAATTCTTCTCTACTTCCCTCAATCTTCACTTTACGCCACACCGACTCCCTTTTCGAAACGTCATAAGGCGTGGAATTAGACCAAGGGGAATCTCCATAGGAACTAGTCCCTCAGATTTCGCACGTAGGAGATCGAGACACAGCCCCAGGGCTATGGGGAAAGATGTAGATCGATCGCCCTAGATAGACAACTACATAGAGGGTCTCTACAAGTCTATATATTCTTAGATTTCGTTCCCCCCGTAAGATCACAACCAATGAGGTCTGCAAGTTTCACATCTAAGTAATACCCGATCCGATAGTTGGAGATATAGATAGATATTTAAAACAACATTATAAGAAAAGATATTAATAGATATCGGTAGTTGTCCGGTCGTACCCAAACAATAATATTCCAGAGGGAAATGCACCTAAGATCAAATATTTCGAGCCGGCTTCCGTGGAAAATTCAGACTTTCTTTTTGATGCTGCGATCACATAAAAACATAAACTTTGAGGCTCAATAGCTAAATACATGGCAATTGAATCATGAGCCGAGATCATAAAGAGCATACTGCGAGTAGGAAGTAGAATTAATACAATGAATTCAAAAGCATCAAACCTCTCTTGTTCGGAAGAATCGAAACACATCGAAATGGTACCAGCCGTACTTAATAATAGAAGGATTTGGCAGAAATATGTAAAATTGTCCCTCCTAAAAAAATTATTCCAGAATAAATGGGCAATAGTTAGGAGAGGTGCGCCAGCGGCGAGCAGAAGCAAGGTTATTAGATACCTCAGGAAAGCCCGGCCAGAACCACACGTGCAAGTTTCCCTGCATGTGGCTCGTCCGTGATAACTTCTTCGGATTTGCGTGAACTAGCGGACCGATCACTAAGCGGGGATGCTCCCTCCAGTATGAGGGAACCTTTTCGGAACTGGTTAGGAATGGGCGCCACTATCCCAGCCCCGATCCAGCCAGGTTCTATTGATCATGTCCCCTTCCTAATAACAGTTGTACCTTGTCTTGGGGCATCTTTGGCTTTACGAGAGAAAGCCCGCCGAAGAAAAAGTCTTTCTCTTCCCGTCCCGGATCATATTCCGGTGGCGTCCACAGAAGAGGAAATAGCAATGCATCTTGCTCAGCAGGCGTAGCTTGGAGTGGGAGTGTAGCGTGGGCAAGGTAAGGAAAGTGGCCGCCAGAGAGGAAGCCAAACCGGCCTATTAAGCGTAAGCGCAGCTAAGCTAATATGCGCCGGAGAAAACCAGGTGCCTGAGGTAAGCTCTACTCGGCCCGGAGCATTGCTTCCCCATAACGAATAGGCTAGCTCTATCTCTCAATTGCCTATCCTGTGCTCGATAAGGTCCCCAAGTTCCTCGGCCTCGAGGTGCATTTAGTTGTCTTACATGAGACTGGGGATATTCCTCACTCCATGGCAGGGCACCTTTCGCTAATCTATTCCGCCCGCCCGTCCAGACGCGGCGCCCCTTTTCATTATCATCTACTGCCCTTTCTTTCCTCCCGGCTATTCACGCATGAAGATCGTCGTATGCTCGACTTCGGTTGCCGACGCGGTAGGAGTACATTATGGCAGGATCAGTCACCCGGGCAAACCAACCCTCCTCCAAGAAGAATTGTGCTATGCCCTCCCGATCCCTATAGAGCGAAAGAGCTGCTTGGTGATCCCTAGGTTGCAGCACGCCCGGTCGTTAACTCTTCGCGCCGCTGCCGCCGTTTCTAGGACCGACCGACGCCTCACCTGCACAGGTACCTACGTAGTGTAGTGTCGGTCGCACATTCAACATAGCGTTCGGACTCATGTGCCTTCCAGAACCAGGGGTCTTCGAACCTGCTGCGTACGATTAGCCAGCCTTGCGGCGGCAAAAGGATCAGACGTCCCCCATGCTACGGTTCCCTGCGGTCCAAACCCGGTGCCGCATTAGGTTAGGGGCTGGGCGAGAATCGCTCCTGTGCATCCCCAAGCGCGCTGCCCTCCTAGGCGCGCAACACTAAGTAATCCAAGCCAACCCACATTACTGACTAACGGCGGATAATCATATTTCTTAGAGGTACTAAATACAACTCCATGAATGAGCAAAATGGAGGTTGCATTAATGATAAAGATCTCTGGGGAAACCGCTAAAAAAAGATTGAACATGTGGGAGGATCCGAACGAATTCTGCTTTCATTTCCCCCGTATGGAGCACTGAGTTACTTACGTTACGGTCTTCAGCAGGCAGGCTGCACTCTAGGCGGCGGCTAGGAGGGATCGCTAGAACAGCAGCCAGACTAAGAATTCATGTGTAATGATGGTGATTCCACACCAGGCTACAAAAAAGCATTTTTTTAGAAAAAGGGGGGTCCTAAACAAAAAGGAGTCCATGACCCCTTTTTAGAGCGTATAAGGAGAGGTCGAATTCAAAACTTTTCTCTCGAGTATACCCATTACCAAAAAATGGACGTCACTTTGGAACACATGCGGATAGCCGCCCCGCGTGGCTAAAAGTAAGCCAAAAGAGCTCAAACTCTTTTTTTTAGTTCCACCGAGAGACTCGAGTCTTATAAAAGACGCCACTCTACGAGGGAAGTCCTCTGGTCGAGTCCTTGCGAGTTCATCCCAAACAAAGCGAACCCCTTCAGGGTCTTGGTCGAGAAGATGCAGATAAAATAAAACGCCAATAATAGCCTGATGTCAGCTTCTACGGCATAAGCTTTCAAGTGCGAGAGCTATCAACGCTAATAATAAACATTTCATAAGAAAATCCAATTATTTTTAATCTCAAAGGTATAGGTGAAATTTTGAACAGTCATTTCAATCTTTTTCTTCCATAAAGATAAATTCCGAAAAAGCCTCCGGTACTTCACTTTCTCGATCGGTTTGAGAACGTGTGGAGGGCCAGCACACGGCCGGGGATTTGCTGCATTCCGCCATAACTTCGAGAATGAATTTGTTTTGTCGAAAGCTGCGCCCGCGCACTCGATGCTTTTCTCCTGGAGATGAAGGCCCGTACTCCCTGTGCCGAGGAGTCCCAGGAGCGTAACGTAAGGATCTAGTTTCTTGTTTTTTTTTCTTCTCTTAAGATATTTCGAGCGTCTCACTCCACTTGCTTGCTACTCTTGTGATAGGGGTGGTAGGGCTTACCTTTGCCTCAAGACACGTAGCTCTTCTATTTATACCAACCTATTCTATTCTTGAGTCAACTCCCCACTCTGTGAGCGGGCTTAAGAGACCAGTGAGACCCCACAGGACATTTTTCTTTCTATACGGATGGGTATAACCACAACCGAAAGAAAAGAGTAGAAGAAAGAAGATAGGGATAGGGCTAAATTTCTATCTCTTACTATCATAAAGAAGACTAGCTTTCCATTTAGGGTGGTAGCTTCACTAATCATTTGGTAACTACTTACCTGACTATATCCCCTCGCCAACTCCCAGCTCTCCTGAAACTGCCCTTCTACCCAGGCCTCCCGCTCTCTGAGAACCCTTCCTTGTCATCTCTGAGCACTGAACACCTTCTTTACTCTCCGAAAATACTGAAACCCCCTATTCTCCCTCTTCTTCGACCAGGAATGACTAATTATCTCCTAGCTTCAAAGTCTCCCACTGAAGATCTTGCCTGGGCTAGTGCTTCCCCTAAGGGAGATGGATATGATGCCGCCGTAAAAGACCTAGTAGAAAGAGATGCCCCTGGAGTTGTCCTAAAATCAGGCTCAAGTCGGTCTTCACTCGCTGCTGTGCTCTCTCTTCAATTTCCGGCTAAGCAGGGTTCCTTACCCCCATAGAGGAGTAGCTGTCCTTCATTCCTTCTATTCCCGTGAATCTTTTTACTTTAGAAAGAGTTCCCCCTATCTATTTTAAGCTGCTCATTCCTTGCTTGTTTGGAATGCAGCATAGGCGCTTCGGTCTCAATTAGTGCGTTTGATTCTTTCCTTTATAAGGACTTGCCCCCGGCCTTGTCAGCTCATCTGTAAGGGTCGAGCGGTCTTCTTTTCTGTCTGATGGTAATTCGAATCTCTTGCAATTGGTCTATGGCAAAGGGTCATCTGTCCAATAATCAGTCGAAATCAGTCCACGAATGACTTTCTTTTTTAAATAGATGGCCTTCCCGCTACTTGTCGGTCAAAGCTCCGAGGATTGAAAGTCCTACCTTGTAGTTATCGACATCTCTTCTTTTCGCTTCTACAAGGCTGCGCCTCTCGGATTAGGATCAAGGCTTGTGCCTTCTCTAAGAGTTGAGTCACTTCCTCTCTTTAGATCGATGGCTTGGTTGAGCTCAATTACAGCTATCGGCCATCTCCCGGTAAGGAAAGTGGAATTCCCCAGCCTGATGGTTAGGGTCAAGGCTTGGTCTTCCCCTCCTCGGGCTTACACTTCACTTCGGGAACATCTATTACAGGAAGTTTATCAAGTCCTTTTCGATATAGAAAGTTGGTCAATTCATGAGAATTTGAAACTTTCAATGGAAGTCTTATTATATATATGTGATTTTCATCGATATGCACTGAATCTAATTCCTTCGAGGCGAATGGTCCACTCATCAAATCCAGTTCAAAGGAAGAGGGACATTCCTACTTCCCTTCCAGAAGGAGGGGCTTTAATAGTAAGAGCAAGACAGCCTTACTTAAATGCCAGTACTCCCTCAGGGCTCAAATGCCATAACTACCTCAGGTATGAAAGGGGTAAGCTGCTAGAATCTCTTGCCTTGGTGACTCGATCGGCTGTCTCCCCTTCTCAAACATTGATTCCTCCGAATAGGGTCTTTTCCCACCAGGCACCGTGGCCTTATATCCCCCTGGTCGTATTCAAAGGATCTCTCAAGAGTGAAAATCTCTCTACCCTTCTTCTGGCATCACAGCCTATTCTCTACTCTCTAACAGCTTCTGAAAAAAGATCGGATTGGTGAACAGGATGCTTCCTCTCCTCGGCTCACTTCACTACCTTTAGAGAAGTTCCAGCAGAAGACGAAGAAGGAACTTACTATACCTTACCTCCTTGTGCCCATAGCTTGACCTCAGCCTTGAACTACCTGCACGGATGCCTTCCCTTCCTTGAAAAGCGAACCCAGAAAAGCAATCGAAGGAGAAAGGAATAATACCTTCTTCTTCCACAGCAACATCTCGTTCCATATATTCCTGGTCTCGTGAGCTTACTCTTCTTCTTTCGTCGACTTCGAAATCTCAAGAAGAAGAGCGCTTTCCTTTATCTTGCTAGTCTATCATTCCATCCAGTGATCGAAAGGGTTAGAAAACCAAGGCCAAAAGAGCTTTAAGCCGGTAACCGGTGAAAGAGTATGAACCGAACCCTGCATCACTACAGATCAGATACAAGAGGGAAAGCTAGCCTCACTATACCGATCATGGCTTCTGCACCTAAGCACATCCCATCGACGTTTCCGTGGTAGAAAGGTATAATAATAGCGGAGGACCCGGCACTGGCGGGACAAGAATAGGAGGATTTGCAAGGTATGTCTTGATTCGTTCGAACGCTTGCTGACCCTGGCCATTGTCCCGTGGAGTTCTTTCTCAGAAATTAAAAAATCGGCTCGGTGTTAGCGAGAAATCTGTCAAATACTGTACACGTCCCAAACCCCAATTTCCTTATAAGTTCTCGGTGGCGGCATATCTATAAATCGCCTTCGACAACCTCGGATCGAGATATATTCCCCTCCGACTTACGAGAAAACCAAGAAAGCGAAAGCTTGCTCCACCATATGTTGAGGGGTACGAAAGGCTGTCATTTATGGACGGTATCTCAGGATACAACCAAAGACGGTTGGCCGAGAAAGACCAAAATCAGACTTCCTTCATCACGGGGTGGGGAACCTTCTGTTAGTTGGTCATGCCATTCGGCTCGGCCTAAAGAATGCCGGAGCAACCTACCAGAGGGCTATGACGGCCATCTTCCATGAGATGATGCATACATATGACTATGTGGATGACATAGTAGTAGTCAAGTCCAAGACAAAGACGAGAGCGATTTCGAACTTCAGTAGGCATGACTTTCCTTTCATGAGTGAGTTGATCCTTCCTTCCGTAGCTCCAGGTGGCTAGGAATTGTCGCTTATGGCCCGAACAGGCGCCTCTGCCACCCAATTCCTCATTTAACCCCAAGAGAGAGGCCTAATCCATCGCTTTTGGGCATAAAAAAAGGCTGATCGTTCATTTCCCAGGCCTCGGGGATCGCTCCTTTCGGGCCATTGGCCAGGTACTAAATCAGCAACTACCTACGGAATCTTT